CATTGTAGTTCTGGTTGTGTAGCTGTTACAGTATAGCTTTTGCTCTTTCCTTTGCTTCCTTTCTTGCCGCCTTTACTCTTTCCTTTGTTCTTTATCGCGGCCTTCTCCTTTGCCTCGTCCTTTTCCATAGCCTCGGCCTCTTCCAAAGGTCCAGTCTCCTTGCCACCAGCTTCCTTTACCTTTCAAGTCAGTCACTCTGTCGACTTCCATCGCTGTGGCTTCATCTCCTGACGCTGGATCACGAAGTTCCAGCTGCTTGAGGATCTGCTCTTGGGAAAAGCTTTTGGAAGTTCTCTGATAGGCTGGCAATGCCCCTCTTACATCAGCATATGTTGACTTGTCAGTCAAGGAACGTTGGAGGTACGGTACTCCTTGAGCTTCTGTGGTGCACACCTGATCAGCGTCTCTGTTTTGAGGTCACTAGGATATGTCTCTTTGCTCGTTTGCTCATACTGCATGACCAGCTGCTCGAACTGCAAGATGTTCTCCATCATGGACAACTTCTGGTTGAAGTTCGGATACTGCCCAAGTGTCTGTGCCAATGCCAAAGATCGTTGGCGTGTAGCAGGAAGAAATTATCTGCACATCTGAAGCCAAAGCCTGAATCCATCCTTGGCTTGCTGATTGGCTCGAACCATCTGAAGACATCGTCCTCTCAAGTAGGAACTCAGCACCGCAAAGAACTTGTTGGCAATCGCTGTTTGTTCTGGCGTGTAGCTTGAGCAATCTGGTTCTCTTGCACTACCCTCTGCATTGGCTAGTAGATCATTGAACTTTGAATCTCCAAAGCTCAGCCATGATTCAAACTGCAGCTTCCATGTTGCAAACAACAATGGGTCTTCACCATTGACGGTGTCTGGACTTTTCAAAATCTTCGTGGCTGACTCCCAGCCTTGTGTCGAAGAACTTGCTGTCTTGGTCATCTCTGTTGCTGCTTGTGCTGCTGTGTTGGCTGCTTCATGCTTTGTGCTGTTCCAACCATCATGAACAGAATCATCACTTCTTCTTGACCACTTGGCTCAAACGGCAAAGTCTTCTACGTCTCAAGTCTTTTCCTTTCACTCTACTTGTTCAACCATTCTCTGCGCTCAGCTTTTGTCTTCCAGCCTTGTTGAGAATCTTCTTGAAGTCCATAGGCCATGGTGATCAGCGTCATGAAGATCACCACCATGCCAGGCTACCTGCTCAGGATGGCGATTGAGATCAAGCTCATAGTCTTGAAGACATCGAGGTCGTCTGCCAGCATCATAGTCTTGAAGTGCTCGTTCACCTGATTCTTCTTGAAGACGTTGTATTGTAGTTCCATTTCTCCATGCCAAAGCTGTCGATGTAGTTCTGGCTTTCCGTCGCATTTGTGATCACCTGCTCATTCTTTTTCTCATAGTGCTCCAAGCACATAGTCTCCTCCAAGGAGATCTTGATCGTGGCCATCATGATGTCCTGCTCACTCTCTTCCTCCAGGACATAGTTCTTTCTCTCTTCAAGTGAGTTCTGTGAAGCCTCACTTGTGGCCATCTTGTCCTCATTCTTTTTCTCCTGGCCTTGGGACTTGAACCCAAAGCATGCCACTTGTGAAGTCCAGCTTCACCTGAGGACTTGTTCTTTCTCTCTTCATTGCCCTGGGATTCAGGTGTAGTGAGCTCCAAGCTTATCTTCTCTTCTCTCTTGAGGTGAGTTCAGTGGGGCCTCACCTTTATGCCAGCATCTGCTTCTCCAGCTCGAACATGTCGAAGTGCTCCACATAGTCCACCAGGAAGATCGTGATCTCGGTGTCCAAGATGTAGTAGGCTGCTCAGCGCTCAATCTTGTACTCCAAGGCGTCGAGGATGTAGTGTCATCTTCCATCTCTCTTCTCCCCTCGAGCTCAAGTTCAAGAGTGGGCTCATCAAATTGATGCCCTGATGCCCTGCTGTGGTCATCTCGATGGGCTCAGTCCAGGTCATTGGCTCAAGGGCCAACCAATGACCTTCCAAGGTCTTCATGGTCGTCATGGCCATCACCAGCTTCCACCATGGCTGCGAGTCCCGAGCCCTCATGACCACCAGGGCCAATCACTGGGCTCCGCTACCATGTCGAACGCAGTGGTGCGCCTCTTTCACCACTCTTGATAAAAGCCGCTGAAGTCAGTACACATGTGTGTCGTGTTGACATGTCCACAGGCATGAGTGCTTGGCTGTATGTTGACAACTTCGTGATTTTTGTTTGTTGCAGTGGTGTCGCGCCTTCCCGCAAATCTCAGCAAGTCTGACACAGTGCTTCCCAGTGGACTTGCGATGTTGCCATTGCATCATGTATGACAGTTGGGGACTTGTCCTTAAAGCGCCCGAAATCAAGAGCAGAGTGAACACGAAGCTGAGTGGTGGTCGGAAGCATCAGATCCAGAACAATGGTTCGGGGCTCACATGCAGAAGGACACAGAAGATGATGGAGCGTTTGGATCGACAAACAAGTTGAAAGGATGACAAACCACACGGTCAAGTGCAGTATCTATGCCTATGATCAGTGTGGCTCGAGATTCGCAAAAGGGTGTGCATCGGAGAAACAGTTTTGGACACAAGATTGTTTCTCAGTTTTGGTTTTGCTTTGGTTCTTTATCCAGTTCCTATGCTATCCTCCTGGCCTCTTCATGTGAGACTGTGTTAGCCAGCCTCGACCAATCAACAGGCCGCAAGTAACAAAAGAATCAGCTGCGCACAGCTGATGGAGGCAGGTAGCCTTACAGGGTTTGCTCAGGGAGACAACCAACTCAAGGCCAAAGTGCGAAGAGTTCCTCTTAGTCACTGACCTGACAGCTACAGCTGTGCAGGACTATAGCCTCCACTAGCCATAAAATAAAAAAGCGGAGTTGCGCACATTCATGCTACTAGAGGTCACTGACACCCATTCAAGCTCATTCTCTCCCATCTGCTTGCAGGGCTGAGTCTTGCCTGCTCTGTCAGTTCCTGTACTGATGGGCATGAGGGGCGCTTACGGGTGTGGCATTTGTCTCTTTGATTTAGTTTCACACGTTCTTTCACCCCCGTACCTGTGGCACGCAAGAAGAAGAATAACATAGTAATGAGACAAAATGTTCTTTGGGTTGACCAGATCGTTTTGCACAGGGAAAAACTAAAAGACTCGTTTTGCTTACCTGTCAAGGTCTGATGCATTTGGGGGGGCCATTGCCACCATCGTTCATGGTGTATTTCGACCAGTTGTTAGTGCAGAAACGTTTGGAGATGTGTTGATGTGACCAACCTGTTTTGGGAATTGTGAGTTCTATTTTGAAAATGTGTGTGCAGTGTGAATGTGCCGAATTCTGCCATTTTCTCCACATTCAGGTCTCGGGCTGGCTAATGCATGCACGCACAAAAAACATCAGTAGAACCAAAATCACATCCTGAACCATGCCAATTACCATCGCAAGCAAACCGTGTACGACTGGATATTTTCAATCAAGAGCAATAACCAGAAGTTTGATTCGAGGGACGGTGTTCTTTCCAGCACTAGGGGTAGTGCTGCTGCGATGCACATCAAGCAGGCAGGGAATTGGAGGGTGGATAGAGGCGACAGACTCCCTCCTCTCTCCACGAGCGCGGATTGAACAAAAACAACTTAAAGAAGGTATCAGGGTGGGTGAAAGGGCTTTGTACACTGAAACCCAAGTGACTCTTGCCCTTCTATCAAAAACTTGACTTACATGTTCGGATGATGAGTGTTGGCCGGCAACGCAAGTGGGGCGTGGAGCGGTGCATGCCAGAAGAGACCATCGCCGCCCACCAGCCATCAGGTGATTTTAAGAGGCTTCAAGACTTACAAGGAACAGGTGCCAAGAGATGTTTGCACAATGCTCTTTCAAAAAGTATTTGTGTGTCCAAAATGTTTGGTTGACCTCGACTCAAAGCTTGGCATTGATAAGCCAAGGTGAGTCTGCTTGAAGATTTCCACCCAGGAGTCAATGTCATTGTGGGCTGTAACCTCAACTTTCTTGGGTGAGTCGTGACAAAGATTCTTAACACTTACCTTTCTAAGGTTTCAATGGTTCAGGGAAGAGCAACCTCTTCAACGCCATCCTTTTCGTGATCTCTGACCACTTTGGCAGCTTGAGACAGGAGTGCGTGACACTTCTGCCCTGGATTCCATTGAACTTCCAAAGACATTTCCCGTTTTCTTGGAGGGTCCAAGATTGGCCTTTTTGCAGTCCAGAGGCAAGTTCGTAACATCCAAGACATTGCACATTTCAATAGGTACAGATCCCAAAACCAAACAGAATCTCCACCAGCTTTGCTGCTTTGATCCCACTGTGTCCCCCACGTAAAGAAGTTTGCAAGCGGCAGTGACATGAGGAGACCCGAAGGTCCTTGCTTCATGAGGGCGCAGGACCCGCAGTATCGAACTCAGAAACACACTTTGCTGGAGGTTTCATGATAAGACTTCAGTGTTTTCTTGTACTTGAAGAACACATCGGATCTTGACATGTTGCCTGTGGGCAACCTGTCAGGTCTTGACAGCCTTTGTGGAGATTGCCAGCCCGGCAACTTTGTGACAGACCTATCTTCCCGGAATCTTCCCCTTGTATACAATTTTTGGGATTGGTTCGACCAAAGACGAGAGGAGCTAAGGCTTGCCTGAGCTCTGAGTTCTTTCTGTGGACTGAAAACCCATTGGCTCAGTGTGATTGAGTGACCTGACACTCCAATATTGACACCAACCTGAATAACCTGCCTACAAGCATCCACAAATGCCCCCCCAATCACAACAGCATCGAATTTTTGCTGTTGGACTCGAACATCACAACTAACTTCGCGCACAGGACATCAGTCAGCCTGCGGAGAGGAGAATCGCTCAAAGCACACTTTAGGTCTCCAAGCAGAGAGAACACTGCAGCAAAATCATACTAGTAGTTTATCCAAGGTCGCTCAGTTGCGGTTTCACTCGCCATGCCCTTCTTCTTCTCACCAGCGTTGAGCCGGCGTCAGAAAGGCAGGGACTGGTTCTGAAATCCATAAAGCTCAGAATGCTGCAAGAGCGGACAATATTTTTCAACAGCAATGACATTGCAAGAGTTTCTACACAATTAGGACAACAGGTCAATGACCGTGGGTTCTCCCACCTCCAGCCAATGCAGGAAGTGGCTCAACAAGCAGTGTCAATGCAACAGAGGCAAAGCAGAATGCAAGTGTGCAAAAGAAAGCGCATCTGAAGCGGACCTTGTCAACAATTGAAGCTTGGCAAGGAATAGGAGAAGTACATGTCTGTGGGTCAAACCACCTTCGAGCAGCTGCTTTACAAGGGCCCACAAATCAAAATTGTCCATGCCAAGTCCACCTTTGTGTCACTTTTACACTGCTTACTGTATATAAGTGGTTGGTTTCTCTTTGCAAAGAAAGCAGCTGGTTCAAAGTGCCAGCTCCGCTGTCCCTAGGAGAAAGACTCCTTGCGATACAAGGCCGGCAAGGTCAAGCCTTGGATGGATGACGACGGCAACGTGGTGTGGTCCAAGTCCAGGCATGCAAAATACGGAACACACAGAAACAGAGTCAGTGAGCGCATGAAAAAGCCTGCAGGTCTAAACCAAGACTTCTTGAGTTGCAGCAAGTAAAGTCTGGCATTGTTGATGTATATGGGTTTGCTATCATGGCTGGGGCTGTTTGGAGCTCATCAAAGGCTTCTCAAGACTCTTGAGACCTGAAATCTAGTAACCCCAATGAATCGCCTGTTCCTGTGCTGGTTGGAGTTGACAATTGGCATTGTAATCGATTTCGGGTTGATCCTCATGTTGCAGGATTATCATTGGCGAGTGGGTCCTCTCACAGACCTTCGAGCAGCTTGCCTAACTTGGAGGGCCGGTAGATGTTGTTGCGCAAGTTTCGTTGGGTACTTTTGGTTCCCATTTTCATGTCAGAATCGAAGTAGCGGTCCAATGTAGGCGCATTGCATACGAGTCTCAGTGTTGCACGTTGCTTGGTGCATGGCATGTGGCAAGGACAATCATGGGAGTGATCATCGCCACGAATATTTGCATCATGGTGGTAGAATCAAACGTGCCTTGGCCGCGCATGATGTCTGTCTGTCATGAAAGTGACATGATGTGAAATGCCACTCGCTTCTCGGTCCCTGTCATTCTGGAGGCAGATGCAAGTTGCTACACTTGGGCTGTGGAAAACAATGAGCTTGAGAAAATGCTAGAAAAGTGTCCTCATCGCAGTTCCAGTATTTGGTGGCTTCAGGCCTCAGCTTTTGCGAAGACAACTTTCTTTGTGATTGCTCATGTGTGCATGTGAATAATTCTTGTCAGGCTTCAACTTTTTTTAATGCAAAGCTTTCACCTTGAGGTTGCCAATATCGTGCTTTTGGTCATCTACAGTGTGGAGTGTATGTTGCGTGCCTTCGTGGAACGCCACAACTATTTGTGGAATAGGCGTATGGCAAGCACATCCTTGTTGTCATGTATCCTCTGTAAACAGTTGGTTTTGGCTCGGGAATCATTTTTGTCCTTCCGGCTGGAAAAACCAATGACTGACCAAATCGATGTGCAGGTGGAACCAAATCGATTTGCTGACCGTAGTCCTGGGCTGGGCTGGTGTCGTCCTGGCAGCTGCGGCGTCATTCTCTGGATTCCAATTCAATGTGCTCCGCATAACACGAGTGATCAGACTGTTGAGGGCAGCTCGTGTGGTCATTTCCATTCCAGAATTCTACATCCTGGTGGCTTGGCAAGATCTAACCTGCGTACCAGTGTACCTTTTCTTCAACGAAGATGGTGCAGGTGTGCAGCATGTTCCACAGAGTCAGAATCAACTACTAATGCAAGAGAATGGTCAGGAAACTAAAGAGTCTGCAAAGTGTGTCATATATACGCGTTGGCACAGAGGACGCTACTAGGGGCTCCTGGCATCGTTACTAGGAGCATTCTTACTAGTAGTAGCAAGAAGCATACACTGATACATCGGACCTTTCAGGTTTAGGGCTTTTAGGTTTTGGTGCCTTAGGGTTCAGTTGGTGTAGTGGCTTATCGATGTAGCAAGGTATCGGAGACACCACCAAGTGATCAAGATATCTTGTGGCACTTGTTTGATGGGTTTGGTGTGTACCTGTTACTGCTATTGTTTGTTCGTCTTCTTCACATGATGCTCCTGCCGTTGATCTGCTGATTTCGCTGGGCTTGTCGGTATTGTTATGCAGATTCTTCAGTTTTGTCACCGTTCTTTTCAGGATTGTGCAGTTGTGGTACAGGTCGCTATTCCTTGTTTGTTTATTTTCTTGTTATTGTTGTTGTGGTTGGTGCCGTTGGCGTCGTTCTTATTGCTCTCATAAGTGGTGGGGTCGGGATGGCACTTGGCCTCGCAGTTTCTGTCACTGATGCCTGTGGTGTTGTCGGATTGATGCCTTTGGCCTCCTCTTGCTGTTACATTCGGTCTTTCCATAAAAGGAGAACTTGACAACAAAATGGTGTGCACACTTGACCACAGATTCTGTGCTAAAGCAACTAATGACAACTGAGTAGTGCCAAAGGCCGTACAGCTGAAATGCGCAGGTGAGTGGATTGACTTCCTCGTTCAAGGCCATCATCTTTGGCTCTGTGATGCTGGTGTCGGCATCTGGGTTGCAGAGTCCCAACATGAGATCCCCCCAGCAGGTCTTGCTCTAATTGCCTCCTCTATGTTGACAGAGGCTTGCTCGATTTCGAGACATGACATTTGTTTTGCCTCGGAGGTAATCATTGTTTGGGCAATCATTGGGGTGGAGCTGCTCCATCCAGCTGCTTTGGATGAGAGAGCAACAGCTTTCCGCCGGAGGGAGATTGAAGACCCTTCGAGCGAGCAGTCCTCCTTCCCCATTTTTAGGACGAAGATTGCTTTCAACCCCTTCAAAAGATGTGGCGTGGGTCCCCAAAAGAGACTAACTTGCCTTGTTGATGTTCTTGATCGATGGGAGCCCTTTCTGCCTTCAGCCAGCAGACGAAGCTGAGTTGAATGCGGGAAAGATCTATCCTGACACCTGCTGGCATTGCAAAGATGCCTTTGGAAGTGTCCAAGAGGCCGCAGTGACAATCTTCAAACAGTCACCCAGTTGCACAAGTCGATTTTGTAAGCAGCTGTCTTCCAAAATGTCAGTCGATTTTGTATGGATCAGTCTAGTTGTCCGTCAGGATTGTCGCGGGTGATTCGTGGGGTGAGATCAATGAACCATTGGCGCTGGAGCACCCAGCCCTGATCCCGCTCTTTTTTCTTCATGTTCATGATGATCTCACTTGGCTGCATGAATTTGATTCTCGCAGTCATCGTCGAAGCTCAGCTTAGACCTTTTGCATTGCTGCTTGAAAACCAAAGGTACGTTTAGCTAGAACAGCTTTCCAACCAATTGGTCAGATACATAGAAGTTGTTAACAGGTTTGCATCCACTGTGGCGCATTCAAGGAACGAGCGACAGAGGCGAGAGAGAATGACCAAGCGAGAAAATTGCAAAAGAAGGAGACATTCAATGAAGACAACAGATTGCAGATTAAAGGCAACCGATTTCGACATTCTTGCAAAGAGTACGCTACCGCTGCAGGACGCGGAGCGCGAGGCCAACATGGTTGAACTAGCACTGCTTTGTGACAGCATGGATGTGAATGGCAATGGATCTCTCTCCCTGCAAGAGATGCTTGATGGCTACGACCATAACCACCACTTCAACAATCTGATGCAAGAGATGGATTTTTGGCAAAATCACGAACACTCGCAAGGCATTTTTTTTAAACATTCTTTCGGAGTGACACCTACACTTCTCACTTGTGCAGCTGGAGGACATCCGACGTTCAGACATCAGAACGATCTTCAACGTATTGGATGGAGACGCTTGGCACGCTTGGCTTAGGCCGATTGCACTGACCCTGCAGGTCGTACATTGCTTGGCAAGTCAGTGTTGCTAGCAGCCTCACCCTGTGACCACTGCCATTGCAAATGATCTCGACGCAAATAGGACAAAGATTGTGGAACCGCTGAGGACTGTTCAGGTGAAGTGTCCTATGTGGAGTTTTGCCAACAGCTTGGGACATGCAGGCTGGTGATAGAAAACAAAAGCTGCTTGTGACACCTGCAGATCAAGCCTGTGTCACCTGGTGGTAGGGATGCGGTCAGGGAATCTTGACATCCAAGAGTCCAATCACTGTGTTCTCAAAATCTGGCTGCATTGCCTTTAGTACTTGTCTCTGTAAACTTTTGCCAGTGCTGAACGCAGGAAGAGGGATCCTGTCATGATGCACTCACTTATCAAATACTCTGTGATGGAAGTGCAGAAGATCCTGAACCACGAAATCATGGATACTTTGAACGAGCATACCGAGGCGTTGATGAACGGTCCAGCGCAAGGGTTAGGTACTTCATTTCAAGGGCCGACACTGGCAGCATTGGCAGCTTCTGTATATATAAGTCCAGAAAAGAACTATGTGGGAATAGTGTCCAAACTGGCACCACCTAAGCTTCAAGCCATCTCCAGGCACTCATTGAACAGAGAGAGATGCTCATGGAGCAGCTTCAGTTGCTCCATGCCCTGCCGGTGGATCCAAAAATCAAAGAGGACCGGTGCAGAATTTTGAATTCCTGTAGCTCGTAGAGCCAAAACTGTGGTTGTTTGGAACAGGCTTCGCAATAGGTCACTCGACTGCAGGTGGCGCAGAAGAGACGCGCGGCCCGAGTCCTGCGTCGACAAGGCACCCTGTGACCAGAGACAAGGTGAGTTGTTTCCATGCGAAAGCCGGCCATTACTGTAGGGCCGTTAGGCCAGGCGAAAGTTGTTCAGGCGAACGAAGTGAGGCTTAGGGCATCTGAGGGAAATTTTAGTTTCAGTGCATTCTGGCGATTCTATTGATGCTGGTAACGCAAGATAAACATATTGCATTTCCAACATCATCGAAAGCTCCTCAAGCCGAGGGGACTTGGGAGGTTGCCCCATCTTTCGTCCCCCTTCCTTCTTAGGGTAAGAGATGATTGACCTTTTGGCTTTTTGAGGTTGAGTGGGGTGTGGAGAAAGCTGAGGCAAAAAGCAGGGGAAGCCTCAATATTTCGACGAGAATGGCACAGCTGCCACAGCCTACAGCTCTCATGGCTCTGATGTTCAAGAGGAAGGATCTGGGATGGTAGCTCATCAGGCCCTATCCTCGACATTGGGATGAAAGCTTGGACGAAAAACAGGGTCAACAACAAATTCAGCTTTGAAGGCTTTAAAGCAGCAACACTTCAGCCTTGGGGTTTGTGCCAGGTCGTTAATTCCATGGAAAGCACTTGCCAAAGCTTCGAGGATGGGGTAAAACATATTATTGAACGATTGGGACACGTTTCCCAGAGCGTCCCGTGAACTTGCATTGTTCGACCGTTTGTTGGGCCTTCGTTTGAGATATGTATATATATACCGATATACCGTATAGCTGCTCAGCACTTCAGGTACTTGCCATTTTACATATTTGGGGTTTTGTGGGCGCCAATCTTGGGTTCTGGCATGTTTGAAGGAAACCGTTCTCAGAGGAACGCGTGACCTGCCTTCCGACCTGGGCTCGCAGTTCTGTTAAAAGACTACTGACCCTGCATTCTGAGTACTTGGTGGAATCACCTAGCCAGCCACCTATCAAAGCTTATCAAAGCATCCGGCAGCTGGCGGAATGTACCCGGCGGCCAACAAACATCATGGGGCTGGCGGACTCAGCCGCCGGGTATCCAGAGCAGTATCAGCGGCTGGCCGAAAAGCGTTAGGCCCCGGAATGTTACTGACCTGCAAGAGAAGCACATCGAGTGCTGCCAGGAGCTCCAGTCACAGATGCAGTCCTTGATTAGGTCTACAGAGGAGTTATCCTCAAAGGCCACGAATTCAAAGCAGGACTTGCTGGAGCCCGGAACAGGCCGCGACAACAGAGTCAGACCCAACAGTCATCGGGCGTGAGGCTCTGAGGGGTTGTAGTCTAGGAGTCTAGAAGGAGGTACCTTGTAGGGAGCGGTGTTCAGCGGAGATAAAGTCACATCTTTGCTTTGTTACTCTGTGCCTGACTCTTTTGTTTTGCTGAATGGAGCTGTTCTCAAGGTTCTACACACGATCGACGTGAATGCTTGCTATCATCTTTAGCAAAGACTGTTTGCCAACCGATCCTTCTGTTCTTTTCCAGGCACGTTGTTGGCAGTTCAAACAGAAGATGCTCAAGCGCTCTCTGCAGACAGAAATGAAAGAACCACCAGCCTCAATGAAGAACTCGAGAGAAAGTTCTCGCTTCTTCTAGCCAAGCTGCGGCAAAGCCCTTCAACTGCGATTGGTGGGTCCTTTCTTGTTGCAGGCTGAGATTAAGGTCTCACAAGAGGTGGAGTGATGTCTTTTCAAGTCTGTGACCGAAACCCTGGAATGATAGTCAATCAATCTTTGCATCTCTGAGGAATGGACGACGAAGAAGTACTGCAACGAAGATGTAAAGATGCTGTCCAAGCTGTTGATTCGCTACTCGCGGATCATAGTGGACGCTACTTTTACTGCTAAGCAGTAAACAGAAGCATCCATAGAGTCAGAAAAAGTGGAAGTTGCCGCACCTTTAAGAAAGTCAGCCCATGTTTCTAGCAAGATTGGGTGGATTGATTGTGAATCTATTGAACGGTCTACCAGTAGCTTTGCTTCCGAAGCGCAAATGGGGGTGTTGCCTTTCTCAAACCTATGAAAGGGAAGTGGGCCACGTCACGGCGCAGGGCTGATCGGACGAGGCTTTTGTCTGGATGCTGATGTGGTGTTCCAAGATAGCAATGTCCCTTTAAGAGTTGAGTATTGGGGCAGGGTTGGCCACCCTAGCAGATGGTCTCATCATATGGGGCCCTGAAAGTAGTTTGTTGGAGGGTCATGTTTTGAAAGAGGGGGGTAGCTGGTTCAATGGTTCACAAACACAGATGATACAGATATATTACTGTAAAACCACAAACTTATTGTTGTTGTTAGAAACTCAAACAGCCGCCCAACATAGTTATCACATGTTGTAACTCTGGAACTTCAAGGGGACCGGACAAAATTTGGGGTTATTGAAGGTTGAGGGAATGTTGGTTTCATAAGTAGATGGACTTGTTGGACTTGTTTCACTGAAGTCTGGGCTGGTCCGTTTTTAATGTCTTTGAGGTGTTGTGTTGGAGGGGGGTCAAAAACCAACAACGGGGCTGCAGTCTTTGTTTTTAGGAGGGGTAGGGACAACAACACCTTTAGAGGGGGCGGTCGGGTGCAAAAAACAACCACGGGAGCTGGAGCTGGTGGAGGTTTCTATAGTAGCTGTAGTAGTAGTCGTCGTCGTAGTCGTCGTCGTGGTGGTGGTGGTGGTGGTAGTGGTAGTTGTAGTGCAAGTGGTAGTGGTAGTGGTAGGAGAAGCACTAAGAGTAGAAATAGTGGTAAGAGTACTAGGAAGTTACGAGGTAGCATCTCACCCCACAAATACTACTAGACTCCTTACCACCATTGTGTTACTACTACGACGACGACGACGACGACGACTACTACTACTACTACTACTACCACGACGACTACGACTACGACTACGACTACGACTGCGACTACGACTACGACTACGACTACCACTACCACTACCACTACCACTACCACTACCACTACCACTACTTGTTGTTGTCGTTGTTGTTGTTGTTGCTGCTGTGCAAGATTCTGTACCTGTATGAGGGCAACGCCTGGAAGGAAGGAATATTGTGGTAGTTTCAGCCAGGAATTGCCGAACATGGAGTCCAAAGAAGGGATACTTTTGAGCCGGAGTCATATTGAATTGAAGATTGTCGTGTGTTACGCTGGCGCTAAAACAAAAGCCACATGCTTCGTTGAATTTGGGTGTTCTTTTGGAGACAAGCGCACATTGGTTTCGCAATTGCAGGGTTTCCCAGCGGAACTCATGACAGGTGTTTGATAATGTAGACCGACGTATGCCCATTGACAAAGACGAGGTTCGCGTCCGTCTAGCACTCAGAAGATTACCTAAGGATGAGATGCTGGGTGCCACTATGCGTAGAATAGTTTCATTGTTCCTACCCAACTTTGACTTGTTTGCTGTTCCTTTGTGTTATCTTATTAATAGAACTCGTTTTGGTTTAGTTGTCGCACTCGTGTTAAACTAGCGGTGAATGCAAACACACACACACACACATCGTCAAAAATAGAAAGTTGGCTGTCTCGTGGAGTCTTTTGCCTCCTTCCTGAACAACGACTCAGTAGTGTCTCTTGCACTCCATTATTGGTCATCTTCCAGAGACATGGAGTAGGTGATTCACACATATACAATATGAACATTTATGAACTACATAGGTCTTCTTTCAAGGTGTCCTGCAGTGTTTGCGTCCGAGAGTAGTACTTGCAGTACTGTTAGCCAAGTCTGGGAAGAGAGAGCCGTGAAAGCCGGGCTGATTCACCACCTTGCAGAAGTGCAAAACGACAAACCTGACATGCCTCCCAGGCCGGACCATTGGTGCGAAGAAGGAGCTCACTGTAATTCTTTGAGAGCAGTGATCCGACCTTCTGAGTGAGATACAAAACACCCCTGCACCACTCTTTGATTAGTCACAAACTTGTAGAGTATATTGGCCTGAGAAGCCTCAGCCTATGGAAGTCAATAGCTTTTCAAGATGAATCCCATGTTTGGCCACCAATAAGAAAGTGGCACTAGCCGCTAGCCATCAGCGAACTTCCCACAGATATGGACTTGTAAGCTGGCCCCAATTGCATAGCTTGCACAGCTCCCTCAGAGTCATGACAGGACGACTACTCTCTAGATGGGAAGACGGCCACAAGGAATGAAGTCTTCAACTTGTTGGAAAGCTGCGGTTTCACAAAGCACCTTCCTCAGAGTTTCGCCGTGTTGCGAATTCATGCTTTTTGTATGAGCCGTGAAGTAAGAGGGCCACATGTGAGTCAGTCATCAGCAATGGCACTGTGACAAAGGGAAAGCCAAGCTGCAATTCTTGTATCTCTCAATTTTAACCCTACAGTACGTTCTTGTTTCTCGTGCTCAGTTTATCAAAACCTGCAATCAGGTCAAATCCATACTACATTGTGCAACAGGGCAAGGCCGCATGGGTACGTTGCAGATGCGCCTAGATGCTTTTGTGGTTTTGAGGCTTCTTGAGATCTCTTTCACGTGACACGGTACTTGTTGCCTCAGTCGATCTTACGCTGCTTTGCATACAAGAAACCATGTCAGCATTTTTTTAAATGCAGCTGAGGATCCTAAGTTTGATCCATTTGTGGATCCATATAATTTTCACACGTATTCCAGCTTCTTTCATTCTGAGATGTTCCCCAGCAGGATGCCACTAGCTAACTTGTGCATTGGACCCCAGTTCCTTTTTTGTGGTATCGTGATCGTGATTTGTAGAAGGTAGCAGAGCTAACACTGATGGATGACCGTCGACGCTTAGAACTTCTAAAGGACTGCCATTGTGTGTGGATCTGTGGGAAGCCCTTACACTTCCCATCATCCGTCACAGGTGGACGCTACGAAATCGGCCTTTCGAAAGATCCGGAAATGCTTCTTTGAGTTACGCACAAGAACCCTAGATACTCTAATGGTTGCGCTTGGCCGAAGTAAGAAGACACCGGCAGCATTCTTTTGGCAAGAACGCTACCGCTTTCAAGCATGACCATTTCAGTCTCATAATCCCTTCCTTTCGATGTCATTGGTTTTCTAGTTAGAGTTTTTGATGAGCTACATATGTTGGCTCGCACTCACTTTGATATTTCTTGTATATTATATAAGTAGAATCTTTCTTTGAGGAGATCTCTGGTGCTGGTGTCTACGATGAACGCCGAGCCGAATCTGTGAAGTTACTGCAGGACAGGATAGTTGATGCCACTGGCCGCAGGGGCTTTGTTTTCCTTCGCCCACCACAGAGCAATTTGCTCATTCCATTGTAGGACCCTTCGTTGCCCGATCTCTGCTCTGTTGGGCAACTCTGAAGATGCAGATCTAGCCAAACCACTTTAAGAGACAAGCAGCGCATGTATGCAAAGCTTATATATATATATATATATAGAGTATATAGCTTGATTTGACAGGACGATTTGTTGGAGTTTCAGTAAACAAGTGGACTTGTGAGGTTCGCCGCCTCAGGAGACAAGCCTCAGGAGGAAGAAAACTGATGAGATTATCGAGGTCTCCCTCAACTACTTGCAAGGGCAGATGGGATAGATCTGTGATGTGTTTTTTGTTTTAGATATTAGCATTATTCTTGACGCTCAATTGTCACCAGCTATTGATGCTCGGTAATTTTGAAAGTCAATGTCCATGCAGGGTTCCTTCTATCCAGAAGACTCTTGCTTGATGCATGCATTCCCTAGTCTGGTAAACCCAAGTGCATCTTGGCCTTCATATATCATGTGGATGCCGCAGAAATTCAGAGCTCAAAGCTTTGCTGCCTCAACAAGAGAAAAATTGTGGCAAAGGGCCAAACTGCGGATCATGTGGCATGTGAGCAAGTCAGCAACGGCATCAATCTGTCAGAAGTACCGACTTCACGTGCTCTGGAGGCACGCCCAACCAAACAAATTGTCAGACAGATGACAAGAAGTTGCAACGCGTCCACATCTCAGTCATTTTTTAGCAGTATTCACACCTGGCCTTGAAGCCCTTGTGATGGTGATGCTGGTGTATTTCTTGCTGCTGGCATTGGTGGTGCCCGGAGTCGCGACACCTTTGGTCACGATCATTGTATCCCGCCATGGCATTCGCAACTTGGCTTCATTCGCCTACTGGCAAACGACAAAGTCATCTAGGAGCCACCTGAACATTGGGGCTCCGCTCATCTCATCAGCATCCAGATCGGCACAGTCTTTCACCCATGCCAGATGATGTCACATTTTTTATTCTGACATTTAGACGTGTGATATACTTTTGTGTGCATAACATTTTGTTGTTTGAACAACAATTTAAGGAACATAAAACATGACTAGAGCTTGTTGTATTTATATACATATATATACACATACACACATGTTTTGCGTTTGAAACAGATTCGGAGTAGCTCGTAGAACGAGATCAAGTCAGATGTGTACTGTCATTAGAGATGAGGTCAGCAGGAACAAGGTTGGGATTCGCCAGAGAGCAGAGATTGTATCGATAGGGTATCGGGCATTAGGCACATGTAGGAATCGAGCAATGTTATCGCTCATGTGTACATCCCACGCCCACACACAGACCCACGGCTCCTCGCATGCACGCCTTTGGCTAGTCCTTACTATCAATGACAAAAGTCTGATCCAGGCAGCATGAATGAGGGATGAACAGATCAATTTGCCCTACTTCCTTTGTATCCATTGGCAGGTACACCATATCCACCAGGAGGTGAAGGGAATTTGACCAAAGAGGTCCAGTTCTGAGAGGGACCGCGGTGGACTGCTGAGGACCCACCAGAGGGGCCGAAGTTTGATGAAAGGGGACGAGAGATAAGACACTAGTCACGATTGCATGTAGGTTCTGGCTACTTACACCTGAATCAGCTGCAGTCCTTCTCCACATCGTGTCTCTTTTTTGCATGCCCAGTCCATGGCCCAGTACACCACGAAGAGCTTTCCACCTTGTTGGCCTCCAGGTCTGACACTGAGAGGGGGAGCCAGAAAAATCTAGGAATTGTATAAATCATTAGTGCGAGCGTGAGCTATCCTGCACCCTAGCTAGGAGCTTCCTATTGCTAGTAGCTTCCTACTCTCTTGCTTAATTGAGTAGGTGCCTACTTAAAGTAAGGAGGCAGGGCCACGGGCTAGAAAAGGGGGTTTGCAAGTCACAGTTTGGGATGTCCCAGACCCAAGGCGAAAGCGTGAAATAGGAGAGTTCCTTTTGTCAAAGAAAGAACATGAGAATTGAAAAAGACAAACACTTTTTCAAAAAGATGGAGAGGTGGACGACTCGGTGCCTCTTATTAGATTTCGATAGGAAGCGCTAAGAGGGCCCAGTCGTCCAGCTTTCCAAGACCTGAGGTGCTAAGGAGAGGTGAGGTGTTTGGGCCATTCTTTTTCTGCATTAACTCTGGTTGATTTCTTTTTTTCTAGTACAGGAACAAGAAGCTACACTACTAGGAGCAAGGACGCTACTAGGGGCTCCTGGCATCGCTACTAGGAGCATTCTTACTACTAGTAGCAAGAAGGAACAAGAAGCCGGTTCCTGGCCCTACTACTAGTAACAAGAAGCTACTAGGAGCATTCTTCCTACTAACAAGAACGCAACATGTGACCTTTTGAGGTCCTGAGAGCTCTGGTGTTTGGGGCAGCAGCATTACTGCAGGGCTCACACCTCATGGTGGCGAGCAGATTCGACTTATGGGCCGGTGGTTTCTTGGTGAGAAACTCCAAGGCTGTCCACTCAAGCCAGTCTAGCTTCAATTGGAACCATTCTATTTATCTCAACTGAAGCAACTCCAGCCGACTCCAGCCGCGGTTGTGTTAGCATCCCATCATCTCCTTGCGTGCCCTTGAGCACTTGCTCTAAAGTTGCATGTAAAACTCCAGTCATCGAGCTTAGCTTGGCCTGCATGCCAGTTAAAGGCAGAGCATGAGAGATTTCTGTTTGCCCTATAGACGAGGATGGGCACCTCGAACTTCTCTGGTGTCAGTTGTGATGACGTTGCTGTTTATGCAGACATCAGCTCTTCTCGAGACAACGAAGCCTCAGCTGCACGTGAGTTGACTTTTAGCAGAACTTTCTTTTTAGATGCACATTACATTCCAACTTTCCAATTTGTTTAGATTCCACTAGCGTCCAAAGTTGCTTCAAGCCTTCAGACATTTTAGCTCTCCTTCTTAAAGTGTGTAACACGCTTGCTGACCATGTAGATGTCTTCTTGTACGAACACGCATGTTGCATGGTTTGTGTCCACAAACATGTGGCAGAGTTTGCAAGCATTTGCAAGTGTTAGCATAATGTGTTGTGCTGTCGGAGCAGGCTTGTAGTGACTCTTGCGCAGGCAAGCGCCTGACTTTGCAAATGTCGGCCGCAGGCATTTTGTGTGCAGGCAATTTGTCCAACACTCTAGTCACTAGTCAGTTGTCATGGTCGGCACCCCAAGGTCCTTTTTAGGTGTGTTGCTTTGGCGTGTTATGGACTCCATCAAATTATGTCACTAATACTATACCTATATGTGGTTGAGAAGTCCTGGTTTGGTTTCGACGTGGTGTTGTTGGTGTATCTTGTCGAAGCGCTGGTTGATCCTGTAGCTCAGATGTGTCCCTGGAATGTCTGAAGTCTCTTAGCGGCTTAGCGCAGTGATGCATGGCAATTTTTGCTTGGATTGTCTCCATTTATTGGATTTGATTGTTCTTGGTTTGAAAGGACATGGCTGTTTCATTCATGTGTCTCTCGGGACTGGTCGAGGAGACTGCCACCAACTGGACTCTTGGTGCATTTCCCACTTGCAAAGCGCTGCACCAGGAGGAGGTGATCAAAGGCGATTCCAACTTTCAGAGAAACAACTTGTATGTTTGTTTCAAGACAGTTAAAGGGCTCAAAGGTGGTGTCATTAGTGACAACGAACTTTAGAGCCCAAGTGCCTGAATCAGGGCACGCCGTGTTTTTCAATCCTAGACCAGACGTGTAGCAGTGTAGCAATGGAAACCGGCCCTCAAGTGGTGCAAGAATGAGGGTAGAAATGGTGCAGGCCCACATTGTGGGTAGGCATGGCAAAGGCAATTCGTGCATGTTGCGTGCTTTGACGGGTAAGGGGCCCAGGGAGGTCGACACAGCTTCTTGGAAGAAGGCGAGCCACCACTGGGGACGGCTCGCACTTGTTTCATGCTCTGGCGGAGCATAATGAAGGACAACAAAGCCTGCGCACAGAACACTGCGACTTGCCTGCCAGAGGGTCTTTTCATGGAAGCAATGCAAGTTTCCAGTACAGGAAGGCAGTCAGGAAGAGAGTCAGGATGGCCAAGCTGCAGTTGACTCAGCAGACTGGCTTGCCGACTATGCCTGACATAAATGAGACATGGGAACAAATCAGGGACAATGACATGAAGAGTAGAGGAGGCTGCCGCAAGACAGAAGTGGACTCTGGAAAAGTGCTCATCTTGATGCGTGTGTGTCATAGATGTTCAGAGGCAGCAAGGTAAGCTGAGAGTACAGTGTCGGGGGATTTGCTTTTTGCAACCTTTTTGCAAGTTTGTGGATTGCGGTGGCTGTTTGATGACATGGGTCAGCCGAGATGCTGCTTCCGTGTGTCAGGAACTTGTTGTGCCACTTTGTAGGTTCCCCAGGTTGAGCTCGGGTTATGCCTGCTTGTAGTCGTACCGGGCGTGCACACCATTTTGATGGCACCACGAGTGTCGGCGTGTAATTCGTTTTTTTTTTTTTTAAATGGCTAGTCACAGGCGAGACGCCCTTGGCGAAAGCGAAAGGAATACATATACTTAAATAGTAGCCAAAGTAGCTGACGACACCAATTCTGCAAAGGTGTGTCAAGATGCCTTTAGTCTTTTCAAACCTTGAGCATCGGCTAGCCGACATGGAGTCTGCAATCTTGTCTTTCAGGTGATGCAAAGCAGGTTCTCTTCAATGATGGCTCCAATCAGGAGAGACTGCAACCTGAAAGTAGCCAGATCCATGGAAGTTGACCAGAGCAAGGTGTGAAGGAAGAAATGCATCCCTTATTCGGCAGATTTTGAGGATTGAGTGCAAGTGACAAGTGACGCAGTTGATCGTGAAAGGAACAAAGAATTTAGCTAGAACAGCTAGAAGAGACGGGGTGTCAAATGAAATTCTGACACCGCCGCCCAACAAAGGAGCTTTGTGGCTTTCAGAGTTCGAAAGTGGCCTGGTACAAATCAGAAAGAGTTCTAAAACGCAGGCGTTCATTTTGAAGCTGTCTCCAGTCCCGTTTTCCAATGCTTTCACACACCACAAACTCCCACACCATTTGTAGTCGTGCTTGGGCCCTGAAGCAATTCCATGAACCAAAAGATTTGGACAGGACCTTGAATCAAAGGAGTATTCGCCCTCCTGGCAGATTCTGGTAAAGAGGTGGATGCTATTTCTTGAATACGGGAAGGCACTTTACATACATTATTGCCTTTTTCTTTGTATACTCAGGTGATCCAAAGCTTCTTGGGCGGAGGAAAATATGAAGCGCTGCTCAATGCTTGGAAGTCGCAGATTCAACTGGTGTGGTCCTTACGTAGCGAACGTCGTATTGATTCTGGATACAGCTGTCTGGTTGGGGAAGAAAGGGAAGGCAGACCATCTTGCATTTTGTCCTTTGACAGGTCACCTTGACCCTAGTGCCTGTGCCGAATTGACCAGGTGGACAGTGTGGTGCATTGCTGTTCTAGTGAGCTTTGCCCAGGGCACTTGCCGTGCAACTTGAGCATCTTGGCTTCCAGAATCAGATTGTCATTTCACGACGTGACGGATCCATTCAGATCCATACAGATCCAACTTGAGCAGGTCTGAAGTGGCCTACCTGGAAGGGTCGAGAATGCTAGATGCGTCTTGTGCTAGTCAGTTCCCCGAATGACTTGACTTCTTTATGAAAGATTTAGTGCTGCCGTTCCACGGTGCCCGCTGCCACTGCCATCATTCCCACTCAAGCATTTTGTGTGGTGTAAATCGTTGTAATGGTTCCCAAGATGTTTTGCAACATCCAATCCAGCTTGAAGTCATGAGGTTCCTTGCCCATCAAGTACACGGGGAAATTCTGGGCCGAGCCTCGGCGGAATTTCGACTGTGACAGACTTGAATACACTCATATCGTTCTTCGATGCTATATAAACGTTTGTGGCAAGTAACACCGGGTGTTCGGAACTCCACACCTCCTGAACATCATGTTGAATCGGCAATCATTTGCCATGGGAGCGCGCAGTTAGGTGTGACACCACCTAGAAGTACGCACACGAAAGAAGACTGAAGAAGTGAGTCCAACTTGGCTGTTAGATTCATTCAACCCGCAGGTGCTGCCCTGGATTGTGACTCGTGCTTGTAGTCCTATTTCGTTAATCTGGCCGCACATTTTGGGTGCAGCTGGTTAGCTCCGCTTGCAATGCTAATTCATTCAAGCGGAAGCGCCCTTGTTTGTATATTTGGTTCTAGTCCTAATTCGCAAGCCGTAGGGTGTGCAAGGAACATTCTGCGCACAGCCTCCACTCCCTCGCCCAAAGCATCATCGGTCTTCAAAGCCTGCGCTAGCAAAGCTGTGTTTTCAGTTTTCAGCTGACCACACCGGAACCTTTGGGTATCTTGACCCCACACCAAGAAACACCCAAGCAATGCAGTAATGCGAAGAAGCGGGTTTGTCTCAAAACAGCAACACCCTCGAAGACCCCTTGCCATTAGGTTGGAGGCCTTCGGCCTAAGGTTCGACTCCATCGCTAGTTGGTTGGAGGCCATCGCTCTTAGGTTGGAGGCCATTCCTCTTAGATTATATAGAGGCCATCGCTAGGTTGGGAGGACATCGCTAGCAGGTTGGAGGCCATCGGAGGCCATCGCTCTTAGGGTGGGGGCCGTTACTATTGCCAGTAAGTAGAATAGCGGATCAGACGTGATCCGATCCCATGGGTTGGGCGCCCCCTCGTGTCATGGATTGTTCCGAATGTAGCTGTAGGCCACAGAAGGTGCCTTCGATATTGCGGTCTTTTGGGCTGTACCTTGGCGGCCGCGTTTGCGGGTCAGAGCACAACATGGATTAGTTGGAACAGGTTTGGACCTAGACAAAGACACACTCTAAGAAATTCATGTGGTTTTTAGTTTCATTTGCCTGAACTTTTTGTTTCGCTTTTCTTGCACCTTGCCAGTACTGGATTGTGTCTTGGACTTTCACGTACTGAGCTGTCTTCGTTGAGCCACTTCTTTGTCAAGGAACAACTAAGCCGTGAATTCGTCAGGAGTTCTTCTTGCTTGAGTACTTGAATGGCAATCCACAATATGCTCAAGGACAACTTGGCAACTGCCTAAGTCGTGCTAGCCGGGGGCTGCCAATACAGTAAATCAAGTGCAGTCCTGACCTTCTTCTGCTTCAGATCAAACAAATAGAAGCACGACTTGATTTGCTTTGATATGTTAGAAGCTGACCCCCTCTGTCTGGGGTGCATCATCTTCATCATCATCATCATCTTAGGCGTCTCCGATTTGGTGGACCTTTATCGCATGGCCGTGGAGAACATTGAGATCATGGACGATCACTTTGCATCCCGAAGCTTTGAGTCCACCATGGTGGGGCAGGGACACTCGCAGTGCTGGAACAGATGTGTCTTTGCTGGCCCAATTCTTCAAGAGGAATTACATCAGCTCCAATCTTTTTGACTATCATGATGTCTTTTAGCCAAACAAAGCATGATAAAGCCACGTGTCAGTACAACTGAGCATATTCAGTAGATTTGCGTATGTTCTGTTTTCGTTTGAATTGCCAGTTCTGACCTTGAGCCAATTGAGCCAAGTACTTAAACAAACCCAGAAGGTCCGAGTTGATCACCGCGAGCTGGAACGGTTTGAGCCGTCGACTGTGTTTGACATTTCGCCTCTGTGACTTATTTCATAAACGCACAGTCTGTTTGGGATCTAGGCTAGTATAACTTTCTTGGTTGCGAGAAACTGGGCCAGGCGTCGCACATTCTGGGGACCTTGCTTCAAGCAGCAGAGAGGAAGCCCATTCCTGGGCTCAGCCATAGCCAAAACACCAAAGTTGTGTACATGGCTGGCCACGCAACCTGGATGAACATGCGTACATGTCTGATCCATGCTCCAGAGATTTTGGGGCAAGGTGTCCTGCGACACAACGTGCTTTAGACTTTAACCGTATTCACATCGTATGTGGGACACCGATCTCTTTGAAATGCTTGCTTGTCGAAGAAGCGGGTGATGTGTCATGACTAACCTGACTAACCCAGTCAGTAGGGACACGGAGACGTTGAGGATTGGTGTTGGCACCAGAGATTTAAAAAGATCCACAGTGTCTTCCCTCGGAAGGGGGTTGTCATTAACTGAGGACACGAATTTGATTTTGCTGCGGTTATTGCTTGGGCTACGGTGGCAAAGCCACGGCTGGGCGCAGAATGGAGTGGCACCTGGTGGAATGCTGATCTTTGAGTTGGACGGGGGTGAAAAGCAGTTCACTGCCAGCAGAGATTGTAGTTTCTGGTCAGAAAAGTCGTTGGTTCCTAGACCAGCATTGGGTATGGGTCGTGTTGGTGGAAAGCAGTCATCAGCAGGAAAGGAGAAAGAGCGGTTTCATGGGGCTACGTACTCACTAGGCACTCTGCCACACTGCCTTGCCGCGCCCCACCCCCGACAGGAGCAACGGCAAGAGGGTGGCCCGGTTGTCAGCATCTACTTTCAGGCAAGGACATTGATGAAAGAACTTGCTTTGACAGGCCAGACACGTCTCAAGCAGGTAGATTTTATGCTTTGCACGTATTTTTGATCAGCGTTCAGACACACAGCAGAAGTCTATGTTCTTGATTGATTCCGATTTTGCTCCGGCTGGAGTGCAGGTAGCTCAGCCAGCGCAGCTGCGTGAGGGCCAGCCCTTCAGTGAACCGCAAGCACCAAGCCGTGTGCAGGTGGGCATTTGGTGGAAGTTTTCTTGGTGAGCTTCGTACGAGCTGTGCTTGAATGGTCATCAAAGTAAGAAGAGGGACGAACTGTGCTGACAGTGTTGTTCATGGAAGTGCTGGAGGCGGTTTAACCTTGAGGACCGGCCTGCCCTTAGGTCGCCATCACAGACTGTCCTGGTGATCCTTTTGCATGTCCTTTGGACGCTTGGTTTTTCAACATCGTGATGGACACACAGACAACCCTTGGGAGGCAATGACCAAGCCCAAGCGAACAACATACTACCGCAGTTCTGAGCTGAAAGTTTCGAGAGATGTTGGACAGACAAAATTGGATCACTACTAGTCCCAGTAGTTGTCACTAGCATAGGATGATGTAGCTCGCTTCAGACCTTTGAGGATGCTTTCAAAAAGATGGTTATCTCCAAGTTGCGGCCGGAGTGTATTGGAATTCCAGGCAGGCCGTTTCGGTGGAAGACCACGCTTAGTTTTGCTTTGCAGTCCACTGCTTGTGCAGCCCTCCGCGATTTGGTGGAGAACCATGGAGCTGGCTCCGTTCCGTGGCCTGCTCAATATTGGTGGACCTTTCTTCTCACAGGACAGAAATCTACAGCAGCTGTAGCCTTCTGAGAAAGGATGTCTTGAGCCAGGCGAAACAGAGAGTGGTTGTGCCACATTGCAGGTCAGCTTTTCAAGACTAATCGAGGTCCTTTGATGTCGCTGTGTCTCTTGGAGTTCCATTTTGGCTTCCAAAGTCTAAGTGAACAATAACGCTGAGAGAATTGACTTGTAGCTCGAGGACTTGCTGCCTTTCTGCTTGGAGCGGCGATCTCATGGTTCATAAAGAAGCGAAGGCGCAGCTTTTTGTCGACCACGTCGTGTATATCTATATATAGATAGAGAGAGCTTTCGACACGCTAAGGCTGGATTCTTTCACAGAATGCTGCATGTTCCAAGAATCGGGTGAATAAGCGAATAAGCTGAAAGTGTCGATGACTTGAAGGCTAACTGACATGCAATTCGCTTGCAACTGGGTTGGAAGGTCCTCATCACTGTCCTCCGGATACAGCTCCCAAGAGCTTACAAGCTGAAGACACGGTTGAAGACACGCGACCGTTGGGACGCAGATTTTCAGTGAACTTGGCAAACGTAGCAATGTGTTTTGACCAACTCGGGCCGCTTGGGCTTTGGAGTCTAACAATTCAAGTGTTGCTGTTGGAGTAGAGCTCGCTTGCTTGCAGAGCTTGGTCGGATCGGCTGACCATTGATGCTTTTGCAATTTGTCTTCCACTAACGTGTGAAGAGTTGCAGCCTTTTGCGATTGTTTGGAAAATATGGTAGTCAAGCTCACGCTTCACCGTCCTATGAACTCGAGCCTCACCAGTGAGACGATGGTTGGCATGAGTACGTCACGTCAAAGCGAGAGTTGGTCTCTGCTGCCCACGCAGGCTGTAGCCACTCGGATAAAAAGCCTCGAGGAGGAGCAGCGGGAGCTGGTGGAATACCAACAGCTCGAGCCTACCTGGCAAAATTATTCAGACCACAGTAATAACATGCTCAGGCTCAGTGACTGGAGGGTCTAAGGCGTAAACTCTCTTTGGGGCACAAATTGCAGAGCACTTTGGTTTTGAGCAAAACCGCCGCCATTTGATCACCTCTCCACCCTTTCACATCAGTGGTGCCACTGTTGAAAGCGCTGTTGGTCGTTTCGCCAGGAAGCAGCGGCGCTGTTTGGAGTACGAGCTCACCGATCGCGACTGGCGAACAGCACAGGAGAGTAAGAAAAGCAGCCTTCGAACCAGACCTTGCCTGGTCGTTGCAGGAGCGTATCGAGACCCTTGAGGCACAAAAGCGGGAGGTTGCTGAGCAGATGCACAAGGCCATGCTTTTGCCGTAATTATCGAAGTTTCTTGATCGGCTTGACATGGGGTCAATTGAATTCTGTTGTCAGAAGTGCGAAAGCCACTCAAAGTTGCTTTCTTTGGGCGATTGAGGTCCAAGGTTTTAGAGTAGGTCCAACATGTTTTACTCCTGGCACTTTGGAATAAGAACACCTGTCTTCGGACATGACCATCGACTCACCATTTCCATTATTCATTCTTGCAACCTATTAGGCCTTGCCAGAAGGCCTCACGATTGCACCACGATCTGCTTTTTTCCGGCTGTCTCCAGTTGTGGTGGGGTCACCTCTTTGGGCTCTTCGGGAGTAGTGGGTTGCTTGGGTTGTGGGTCTCTCCAGCTGTGGTGAATTGTTTGGGTTCGTTCAGCACAAGAGCCCAGCTAGGCTGACCTGTTTGGAACTGAGTAATGACCACCAGGCAAATCCCATTCTGGGAGGTTCATTTTCCTTTTTGGCCTTTTCACCCAACCGCATGGGCGTGGAAAACCCCCCTGCGATGTCAGGTGCAGCGTGACACCACCGACCTCCGGGCTCGCCTGGATGATGCCGAGGCGGAGGTGCAGCGCGCCCGGCGCCCGAAGGATCCGTCGGGTCAGCTTCTTGTTCCTAGGAAGAATGCTCCTAGTAGCTTCTTGTTACTAGTAGTAGGGCCAGGAGCCCCTAGTGGCTTCTTGTTCCTAGTAGCGATGCCCTTTGCCCCTAGTAGCTTCTTGTCTGCGTGCGTTTTGTGCCGTGCTGCAAACATTCGGTCCTAAATGAGACGATTGCACAGAGGTTTTTGGTCCCAGTGGCTCAACCTGACATCTTTTTTTTGTTCATCCTTTTTGCATGACGACTCCGGTCAACCCCACGTGGTGACACAGGCAGAAGGAGGCGAGCAAGGAGAGATAATCTACTGGCAGCAAGGAAGCTCTTAGTAGAGACTCATAAACATCTATCGCATGGTGATATTTGTCCTTAGATTGTAGGGAAGCACACTTTAAGTTTCAGCCTTGAAATCTTCCAAGTGATTGAGGCCAGCACCGAGAAGCAGCGTATGTCCGTGGAGCACGAAGAGGCGAAAGACTCTTCGTTGATTCGGCGAACATGTAAATACCAAGCAAACACCGCCAATCACATTGCATTCAAGAAGCATTTGTCATTTTCCTTGAGAGTGAGAGCTTAAGGGGAAGTTGGCTGCATCCTGTTTCCTGTGGCGGATCACATGAGATTGAATGGGGATAAGAGCAGGTTAAGCTGTGCGTGGATTGCAGAAGTAATCTAAACAGGATGGATATATGCTTCATGGTTGGGCGAAGAAAGGCAAGTGCATATTGGTATGTCCTCAAGACTTTAATCAGGAAGAGCCGGGAACGTTCGTGCCCAGGTAGAACGTTCGAGAGCCAGGCAACTGGATGAGCTGACTAGAGCGAAGTACCTTGGACCTGGTGAATTTAAGAACGAAAGAATCATTACATAAACCTTATGTGCAGAAGAGTGACGTTTCGGAGGTCACGGGAAGCAAAGTTCTTTGGAGAGCTCATTATATACTGTAGTTGATGTCTGCGCACTGAAGGGTAGGCTTGAGGAGCACTCAGCCCCTTTGAATCACGGATGCGCTTAGGTTGGAGCTCACAGATGAACAAATGCGAGCCAAAGATGCTTTGAAGACACAGGAAGAGCTCAAGAGTGAGGCCCCGGTTTGGAAAGTGAGGCCAAATAAAGGTACCCCGATGAATCCCCAAAGCAGAATGATTTACCTGGAGGCCCTCACCTACCAGTGTTTAGGCCAACAACGCTTTGGTCAAGTCAACATGTGGGCTTCAAGTCAAACCCTCGAACTCGCGGGAAATGAGGGAGGGCTGCATGCCTCTGATTCTGGATTCATATTCTCAGCGACAACAGTTCGCAACCACGACTGGATTTACTTTTCGCTTTTGATTGAAGGAAGATGCAATGTGATTTGACAACATGAATTCTAGCACAGTGGGTGAAACTCTTGTCGTTTCTCCTCTCAAGGTGAATCTCCTGCCCAAGTGCTCAGTAAGAATGCCTAGTGCCTCTTTAGTGCTGCTTGCCAACCTTCCTGGGCCATGGCAGAAAGCACAGCATTTTCGGTTTGGATGTGTCCCGGAGGAGAACTGGCTGAAAAGTTTGCAGGGCTGATCCGTGAAGTGGGAAGGGAGTTTGACGGACCTCCCTTTCAACCTCATGCGACTTTATTGGGCAATGCACCCAAGGGCTCCACTGAAGAGGCGAGGGTAGCCGTTCAAAGACTAGCAAGTTCTCTAGAGCCCTTCGAGGTGCGTGTCCTGCCGGAGATGACGTTCCATGACACCTGGAACCAAAATGTCCTTCTCTACGTGGAGGAATCGGAGGAGCTCAAGGCGGCTAACAGAAAGGCACAAGAAGTCTTGAGGAATGAACCAAAGCCTTTGGCCAAGTTTGCAGCCCCATCCCATCGTCCACATTTGTCCTTGATATATGGAGATCATCCACCGGAGCTGCGACCAAAGATCGTGTCCTGGATTCAAGAGCAAGCACCCTGGGCCGTCGCGGATGCTTCGAGCTTTCTTTTGGAAGAGATCCAACTCTGGGCTGTTGATGGCGGCTGGTCGACCGAAAGCGTGCCACGCTGGCATTTTGTTGATGCTTTCAAGCTGGGAAGCAGTTCAGCTGACAAGGGAGAGTTATAAGATCTCCGGCCGGACTCTGGTAACAGTGTGTGCGCAAAAGATGCAAAGGGATTGGCCTGGCAGACATATGCACAGAATCAGACAAACAAATAGCTCCAGATCACCTCATCGCACACCACACCAAGTTTCTATAGCTGCCAGCCCACAGCAAGACTCAAGACAGGAGGGATCCGAGTGAACATTGGTGTAAAGTGGAGTTGCAGAATTGTTCTCGCTTGTAGCCGATTCCCAAGAACCCACATAGCTCACATTCTGACAAATAACACGTCCTAAAACCCCTCTCATGTCATGGATTTTGAGTTGTTTTACTCACCAGCACCAACCAGCTGAGTTTGCTTCTCTGTTTGCTTCCAGTGTTTTGACGAGGCCAGCCGCTTGCAAGCGGAGAGTGAAAAGCTGACCACGGAGCTGGCCAGCCTGAAGCCGGGGCCGTCAGACGGAAGATCGAAGCGAGAGGAAGGAGGTTGAAGACTGCTGAAGAGCTTTTGTCGTGTAGAGTGGCGACTGTGGGACCATGTGTGCAAGGCCAAATCTCATAAAGGAGACTGAGAGGTGGGTCGGGAGAGGGGGTGGTGCATGGAATGAAAAGTGGCCTGGAGCTGCAAATCGACTGAGGGATGTAGATCAAGCGGTGAGGTTGTGTTCATGTTTGAATCAACCTTATTGGGATAATATGGATTTGAGGGTCTGATCAAAGTCAAACAGGTCCATTTGAGACCGTTGGAAGCTGACCTGCAGGAAAGCAGAGCTCCTCCACCGCAAGCAGATCTGTGAAGCAAAGCGGGGTCAGCTCTTTGCCAAACAAGGCCTCGGGCCAGCCGGGTGGCCGAAGATAGGCATTGTATGGTTGAGGCTCAGTGGGTTGCATCCCAGGAGCTGCAAGAAGGTTCTCTCATGAGAGCAGTTCATTTTTGAAGTCTTGAGGAGGAGACGATTCGCCGGGGTTGATTCACCCACAAGTTTGCTTGGCCTCCCGGTGGACACAAGTTAATTTGCGCTTGTTGGGTCATAATTGTGAGAGCCTGATCATGTGGGGGTGACCTGCAGGTCGCAGTTCGCAATACAGCAGTGTGGCAGCACGCAACAAGGCAGTTCCGGTTTGGTGAGGAGCGCAGAAACATCATCAGAGGCTTTTCACACCAGGCTTCTGCTGGTTGTACTTTTGCGGCCACCGCATGTGTGTAGGCTCATGTGGAGAGGACTTGCAAAGCAGATAAGCAATGAGACATAATTAAAGAGCATAGGCTAAATCTAACCAAACTGATAGAAACTAATGATTAGATGAGATGGTGGTGCAACGCACTTAGGCCTTTCATGGAGAAATGTGAAGACCCTTTGCAGTGTATCATCTGCAAGGTGTCAGGACCTTTTTCCACCCAGTGCCATCACCAAAGCACAGAGGAAGTTTCAGCTCAACCAACTGGAGCTGCTCGAGGTTGAACCCTCAAAGGGCCACAGGATAATCGTAGACATATTCTTTGTCGTGCCTTGCAGATGCCGCCATTGTCATAATGTGCTGGCTCTAAAATCATTAGGTTGATTGTGATGGCTGTTTAATCCACAGTTTCCTTGCTTTGCCCCCCAGAAGTGGTTGAATCTGCAATTTGTTACGCCCAAAATTGCTTGTGCTCGTGGCAGGCCCTGCGAGATGAGGTGGCCCAACGGACCTTGCGAAGAGACAAAGCAGTCGCTTGGTGTGAAGAAACCTTGCTGATTCAGCTTAACAAGTCCAGTGCGCATTCGACAATTCATATTTCTAAGCACTTTTTGCCTGCAGCCTTGACATCCAGAGGCACTAATGTTGATTGACATCGCAACAGTGAGATCGGATCAATGATGTTTATTCACTGCCAAAGTTCATAGTTCCCTTACGACGACTGCTGAGTCCGCAGTGGATTGTGAGTAGTCTGAGATGATGTCTCAACAGCCAACACCCACAAGACGCGGCAAGACAACTATATTAAACTAGACGACGAGTGGCCCGAAAGCATTTTTCATCACGTAGGAAGTCAGAGTGCGAGTTATCTGTTAAGTGTGTTATAAGTGTTCAGTGTGAAGTGTTAAGTCGAGTGTGTTGAGGCAGTGTGTGGGTCTCTGTGTGTGTGTATCTATGTCTGTGTCTCTCTCTGTATGTCTTTCTGAAGCGCAGGAACACCTGTTTTCTGCAAGTTCTTCACCTCTCGAAAGTCACCTCCGCGTAGTAAAGTTGTACTACAAAGTCGCCAGTTCTCATCTTCCAGCTCCACAGATTGCTCCGTGTACTAAAGTTCTACTACCAAGTCGCCAGTTCTCATCTTCCAGCTCCCCAGATACTCCGCGTACTCAAGTTGTACTACCAAGTCGCCAGTTCTCATCTTCCAGCTCCCCGGATACTCCGCGTACTAATGTTGTACTGCCAAGTCATTGTACTACCAAGTCACCAGTTCTCATCTTCCCACTCCCCAGATACTCCGCGTACTAAAGTTGTACTACCAAGTCGCCAGTTCTCA